ATATACTACATGTAAAAGATCATTGAACTGCTTCTTTAAAGATTGATTGTTTACAAGATTATTATCAATATAAATTATAATATCTGACCTATACTCTATATGTTTTTCAAATAGCTAACAAATAAGTGACTCTAAATAATACATGAATTGAATAAAATTAGCTCCTAGAATAACTATAGTTGTCTTTAAACAGGTGTTACATATGTATTCTACTTGTTTAAAACTAAAAACATTTAAACACGATTTGATTTTTGCAAATTCTTAATGTGCTAATGTTAATGTATCACCTTTTGTTAATTTGTAGATTGTTCATCCAATAATATACTAAAATTTTGATGTCTCAGCTAGTTCTAAATTAATAATGTTTCTAGGTATAGTCTATGATTCAGTATAATTTGTAAAAAGTTGATCATAGTATTGTTTGTTGTATACTTGTCTAAATGTGATTCTTATAATTTTTTTGAGTAACATATATGTGATCAATCATTGGATTTCTATTTTAATATTATTCAGGGCCAACAATTAAAAATCATCAAACCAGTTACCTGCATATTTGTAGTTATTTAATCGACTTTTCAAATTTGTTGTCTATGTTATAAGCTAATAATTATTTTTTTTAGTAGAATTGAATCTAATGTCATTTGACAAATACTATTTGACCAATCTAACAAAAGATCCTCCACACCATTCTTATATAACAACTATTAATTAATCATATCCTTTTAAGTTGTAAGTAATTAATAGCCTTATTTTCTATCTTAACATTTTTATTACTTGAAAATGATGGCAACTGCATTCATCCCATTACCAGATCATTATTAAGAAGTTCTTGAAATATTTAGCAGCTGAGAGTAGGAAGAATTTGATTTGAGCTTTATAATTATTATGTTCTTTTAAATTTACCTTATTATATTGTTTATTTTGATACTCTTTCAAAAAAAAGTTATTTTAATATTTATTTTTTAAAAAAAAACTTAATACCAAATTTGTATAAGCAAAAATTACCTTTGTTTTAAATTAGCAAGCATGCAGCCTGAACTATTAGCTGAACCATAATTCAGGCTTTGTATTTCTGATGTTATTTGCATTGTAATTATTAATTTGTTTATTGCATATCCATAGAATTGAACCATTTGTATGGAAGAGTTACTGCCTATTTTTCTAATTGTTCTGAATAAACTCTTAAGCAT